CCCCCTTCCCCAACCCCAAAATGCAATTAACACAATAACCTTAGTCTTGACCAATATGGAGCCACAGCTGAGGCTATACAAAGTTTCCCTAAATTGGTCAAGACTAAGGTATGCATATCTCCCTCGTAATGAGGGGAGTCGGTCACATATACAGGCTCCAGTATGGTGGGGGCTCCAGACAAATGGGGAGATAATTATGGTGGTGGGGAGGTTATTGTGTTAATTGCATTTTGGGGTGGGGGGGTGGTTTGTTTCATCTGCAGTGGATATATAGCTCCTCCATACGGGAGAGAGATTTAATGGAGGGTGCACTGGGGGGTTTGATGGAAGAGCACCAGCCAGTTGGTCTTACATTATTTCTCTTTTTTTCTTGAATTTCACTTTTTACACATATATATACACACATATATATCACTTATACTAACAGTACGTCACCATTGTTGTTCAATGTTGCGGATGATCCACTCGCAATATGGATATTGATTAGTTGAAACACTAAATGATACCTTATATCATTTGATTAAATATTTTACACACAGATGTTATGTACAGTTCTTGCTACAATTACAATTCACTAAGGGTTATCACTATCACTGATATTATTTGTGCACATACACTTATGAACTTTATGTTACAGCAGATTGTAGCAAAATTATTTTTCACATGCGCTAATACTATTGTTGAAAATCAACACATTCTATAGACTAGACTCAGGGATGTTCTGAATGGAATATACCCATTAAATGACTGGCTCACGTCAATTGCCAAAGGCAAATCTGTACGTTTTCAATTATATAAAAATAAAAATATATTTAGATGAGAAGCAAAAAAGGTGGAGATATATAGGAATCTAGGCCCATGATTACAATTTTTAGAAATATCCTATCCTCTTTATCCAATAGGTTGAGTGATCAGGACAACTACGTCACTGGATTGAGGCCACTCCTTATCATATGTCTTCTATAGAAATATCCCAGCAGGGTAGGCTGGGCCTTCTTGATATTTTCCCATGAGCTCCTCCCCCTGGTGCCCCGGGAACAACGAAGGATGGAGTGTGGCGGTTGGCTGTTTCCCAGCCACCTAATCATCTCGAACCTCCTCACAATTGGTTTTATCTCAGGCACTGCCTATGCATGGACTACTAATTACCGGTCCCCTGAAGAAGCTATATATGCGAAACGCGTTGGGACTATGACTATCATGTCAGTTATGTACTTGAATATTGAACATTGAGGACCATTGGGTTAATCATGTCAGTTATGCAATTGGATTATTTATCTTGGATTATTATGCATTTTTATTGTATGTGTATATAGATATAAACATAGAAGCTATTGGCCTGAGACTGTACTGAATGGTCATATATTTATTGAATGTTTAATTAATTTTTATGAGATCCAATTTTACCTTATTTACCCACAATTTTCTGTATATCTAATACATTTTGACATAATTTTTACATAAGCAATGGTTGTATCCATCTCTCCATAAACCCTTTTTTTCCTCTTTTGTTGTATCTTATGTATTATAGGGAGAGAGCTAGAACAGGGGGACATTGGTGAGGCAATCCATAAGTTTTTGTTTTTAATTACTATTTATTAACCATTCCAGTGTTAATACTTAAACGTTTGTGTTTTAGAAACATGGTGCTTGTAACTGAAAATTGTGTTAGCAAACGGATGGACTTATCAGTTATGAAGGAGCACAGTCCTGCACTTGATTTAAGCTTGACAAAATGGTTGTCCCCTGAAACATGTTTACTAGCTGTATTGTCTGTCCACATTCCAAGGCCATCTCTGCAGATGCCACTTGCTGTCATCTTCGAGCAGGTCTCAGTTTCCAGGAGGAGGCTCACCAGCTGCTATTTCCACTGCTGCTACTTTCGGCTGAACCTGCCACTGCAGCACTTCCACCAAAGGCTCTGTTTGCTTCCACATTGCCATTACATTTCACTGACTGTAACGCATTTGGTTGACCACAGATTGCTGATGGCTGTCCTGCTGTCTCTTACTTTTGGCACAGGAAACTGTATCTGGCCACCAATCACACCTTCCTGAACCTGTTTGGTGGCGGTTTCTCAATGTCACTCAACAGGATTTAGGCTTAGTTAAGGTGCTCTGCCACCAGTAATCAACACAGACACCAACAAGTAGAGGCTTTGCCCATGGGCCTTATGTTGCACAGAAGGAGGTCTAGCCAATATATAGTTTTGCATTAAGTAAACCCAGGAGGTTTTTGAGGATTACAGTACAAAACACAACCTTAGATTACAATCAAAGATGACTAAGAGAAGCTTACTAGAAACAATATTAACAGGATATTGTAATCAAAACTTCAAAAACACTGATAATAAGATATAGAAAAGCTGTGCTCAGAGGCGTGTATTTCAATATGAAATGCTAAAAAAAACCAAACACATACACAACATGAATTTTCTACTTACAGAACCCTGCTGAACATCATGTTCTGGTTTAGAAGAAAACATTGAAAGGTCTCCATTTAGGATAACATCAGCCAAAGAGTTAACCAATGGTGCATAATGGATTGTCAAGAAGACCTAAATTAAATAAAAAGACAGAAAGGTATAGTTTGAAATATGTTTGATTTTGTATACTAAGATAATACATCTTGCTTTTTTTTTAAATTCTTTATATATAAAGGATGAACACAGGAGACAAGCCATAGCATAAAAAAGTGAACTAGACGCAGCTGTTATAGTGGTCTAAAAGACCAATGAGAAAACTTAACAAATGACTACACAAAAATGACTGTAGAATGTCATATCATAGTGTTCCAATGATTACTCAACAAGGTGCAACAAGAAAATGCAACAAAAGGGAAGCCTGCCAGGGTGGGTCTTGGGGTCAACCCAGGTTTACAAGTGAAAATAAAGGCATACAAAAAAAATATAAAAACAAATTGGGGGTGGAAAGGAAAACAAGTAAAAAAAAATAAAAGGGGGGGGGGGGGGGGG